TATTCCATTTCCTTCCAACGGAAGCAAGTCTGTTATGAGGACTTTCGGTTGTTGCGTTCTCGAAGAGTGCTGAAGTCATGACTGATGCTGATCGTTTTTTAGGTGGTATTGGGCTTCTCTGTCTCTGCCCATGGTGGGGCAGTTGGCAGTAAAATAGACATTAATCCTGAGCTTCAAAACTGTGCGGGATTTGCGGCTCTGGAACACCTGATGGCTGCTCATGCGGACAAAACACATGCATACTTGGCTATGCTAGCTATACTTGTTGGACAGGTCAGCTAATTTTTGTGAACTTGTTGGTTTCTTATGTGCAGGCTTGCTAATGGGGCTGTTTTGCTCCTACTGTTCTGTTCATGACAGGAAAAAGACCGCTACAATCGCGCAAGAACTCTTTGGTGGGTGTTAGTCGTTCGCAAAAAATAAGGACTATCGTCGACGTTATAAGTCTGTAGATGGGGAACTGGCCACAAGATGAGCGGGAATACACTTTCAGGGACCGGGAGCAGATAATGTTGTGGTGTCGAAGTGCGATGCCGCCAGTCAAACATTCCTTTTCTGTTTACTCAGGATACCTCGCGTCTTCTGCTACAAGCTAATTGGTGAGTAGGGTAAGAGCAGCCCTGGTAGCTTCATGGTAGTATCGTCACTCGGAAAGCGTGAGGGGTCTGTTCAAGTCCCTCCTGGGGTCAGGACCTTGTTGACTCATTCTTTTGATAGCTATCGGAGCGCGAACTGCGGCCTTAGCCGGCAGATATAATGACAAAGTAGCTCAAATTTCATTAGAATAGTGATTCCTCCGTATCCACCAGAGAGCAGTGAGCATTGTGACACGATGAAAAAAGCACGATTACATTGCGCTAAATTCCTTTATCAGGTCATCCTAAAGTCTTGCTATATAACTAACGAGTTTGTCTTAGCTTGTAACAAAGGACTTCGCTTGAACTCCTGAATGTGTATTGTCAGCTTTAAATGCACACCCCGCGTTCACTTGATGATCAGTGCCCCCAGAGCACGCCAACTTTCGTTTTTGACTACTACCTGATGGTGCGCTTTTCCGCTACCCTCTCCATTCCAGATGATGAGGGTAGGTAATAAAAGGAAAGAGTTCACACTAACAAGTGAGACCACACCCTTTCTTCGCCTTGCTTACAAGCGTGGTTCACTTGGGTGTTCTGTATGCGACATTTCGGATCCTTTCAGCTTTCTTCTCAGCTTTTGTGGAAATCACTATTTTTTGAATGCGGGGCGTGCTTCCAAGAGATGTATTCTTCAGACAATTCTTTTGTTTTTAGCCTGTGAAAGAACTTCGATTTTGTGAGAGTTTCAATGTCGACCAGATATGGACACATGTTTTTGGTCTAGCGCTTAATAGGTGAATATTTCTATCATTTGCATTGTTTCTTTCTTATTGTTAGCCACTTCCTTGCAGTTCGGTATATGAAGCAATTAGATCGGCAGAATTTTGCTATGATGCCCTAATACCACTTTTGGCGATGATCAGAGCTTCCATCTACTCAGGGAATGAAGTGAGCTTAATTCTGTGTCGCGTTGTTTTATCATCACTCCTCTTGTTTGTTGACTAGTGCTCAATTTTCTTCAATGCGTCAGTGTATTCCACCCTCACTTTGTGATAACCTCTTCCCAATTACACGTTTATTAACGTCTGCATTGAAATCCCAACAATAGGGAACACTACGCAACGACACGCTCGTGATGAATCTTGGTTGATTGCGAGTGCTGCATAGGATTGTTTCAGAAAAAAAGGCCATTTCCGGTACGGCGGATCAGCGAATGA